ACTAGCGTTAACATAATGACTAGAAGTATATAGGCTCTGCTAGCATTCCATAGACTTCCAGTCATTGCGCTAAACAGATAAAGGGCCTCATTGTCAAAATCCCGAAGTATCCCTTAAAGCCTGGTCCTGGACTAAAAAGCATGTTCAATAGGGATTTTGCATTGAGTGCTTTAGTCCAGGACCAGGACTAAAGCGCTCAATGGGGCTCCCGAGTGGCGCAGCGGTCTAAGGCACTGCATCTCAGTGCTTGAGGCGCCACTACAGACCCCCTGGTTCAATTCCAGGCTGTATCACAACCGGCCATGATTGGGAGTCCCATAGGGTGGCGCACAATTGGCCCAGCGTCGTCCGGGTTTGGCCGGTGTAGGCCGTCATTGTAAATAAGAATTTGTTCTTAACTGACTTGCCTAGTTAAATAAAGGTTAAATAAAAATAATCTGTGTCATTTGACTATTCTACACCCAAATCTGGTATTTTGCTAAGGTCTTATAGTTCCCAGCCGCCCCGCCCGCCCCGCCCGCCCGCCCGCCCGTCTGTCTGTCTATCTATCTATCCCTCTACCTCTCTTATTATTAAGACCAGAACATACTCAACAGTTGGTGAACATAAACAAAAGCAACAATGCCCAATGTGCCTCACTAGACGTATTTTGCGTTGAGCGTGTTCCTGCCGTCAGCCTCTCCAGCTTCCAGTAGCTCTGTGGGTGGTGTTGCTAGGCTTCCCTGCATCAGGAGCAGTGAGTCTAGTGGCTAACCTCCATCATGCCTCTCTAGCCTCTGCCTGCCTGCGCTCTGCTGCTTGACCTTGTTGGCTGAGGGGCTGGAAGTTGCTACAGCCCTGTTGACCTGCTGCAGCCTCAGGTAATAACTGTAACCTACTGAGCAATCACTCCATTACAGCTCCTGATAGTTATAATACAGGTCATAATGACAGGGGACAGGTTAAGAGACAGGGCAAGGGGCAGGGCAAGGGGCAGGGCAAGGGGCAGGGCAAGGGGCAGGGCAAGGGACAGGGTAAGGGACAGGGCAAGGGACAGGGCAAGGGACAGGGCAAGGGGCAGGGCAAGGGACAGGGCAAAGGACAGGGCAAGGGGCAGGGAAAGGGGCAGGGCAAGGGGCAGGGCAAGGGGCAGGGTAAGGGGCAGGCTGGAACATGGGAATAGGCTTCATTTGGCTTGGTAAGCTGTTCATGTTTGTCTACAATATAACGACACACAGATGCTACAGAGGGGCACAGTGGAGAGAGGGAGTGTGCAGTCCATGTCAGAAAGAATAAAAACCTTTTTGTTTGTTTTGTTGTGTTGTGTTAATTAAGTCTCTCCCAGTACTCTTGTACTCGGTGTGTCAATGGAAGAGGAGTCATTCCCTTGTACCACACAGTACAATATGTACAAGAGAGTTTCTTCTTCAGTGGGGTGCCAATGCCCCTGAGGCAGCATTCAGGGTAGCACGATCTGAAAGAACAATCTTGAAGAACGATTTTGAAGAACAATCTGACCTTAATGGCCATGTACTCTTATAATGGGGTTTTAGGCTGGGTATCTGTATATCTGTATGTGACAACTGCTGATGTAAAAAAAAAAGGCTTTATAAAATACATTTGATTGATTGATTGATTGATTGACCAAACCACCATGTTCTATTGAGACCGATAAAGGGCAACATTTGCAGGCAGGAGTAACAGAGATAGGCAGCGGGCCAGTCCTGCTAAAGTAATGCTAGGGGAAACACTGACAGAGTGTAACTATGGTGATGCTCATACCGGGATCATCCAGTTGGCCAGGTCTCCCGTCTTAGACACCTGCATGGCTCCCAGCATCGTCAGGTTGATGTGACCACTGCAGAGACGACAAACAATCACCTTATCAATCATTCTACTGGACACTGAGTGTACAAAACATTAGGAACTGCTCTTTCCATGACAGACTGACCAGGTTATTCCAGGTGAAAGATATGATCCCTTATTGATGTAATTGTTAAATCTATTTCAATCAGTGTAGACGAAGGGGAGGAAACAGGTCAAAGAAGGATTTGTAAGCCTTGAGACATGGATTGTGTATGTGTGCCATTCACAGGATGAATGGGCAAGACAAAAGATTTAAGTGCCTTTGAACGGGATATGGTAGTAGGTGCCAGGCGCACCGGTTTGAGTGTGTCAAGAACTGCAACGCTGCTGGGTTTTTCACACTCAACAGTTTCCCGTGTGTATCAAGAATGGTCCACCACTCAAAGGACATCCAGCCAACTTGACAACTGTGGGAAGCACTAGAGTCAACATGGGCCAGCATCCCTGTGGAATGTTTTGGACACCTTATAGAGTCAATGCCCTGACGAATTGGGCTGTTCTGAGGGCAAGAGGGGGTGCAACTCCATCCTAAGAAGGTGTTCCTAATGTTTTATACACTCAGTGTATACAGTGCATTCGGACCGCTTCCTTTTTACAGCCTTATTCTAAAATTGATAAAATTATTGTTTTTCCTCATCAATCTACACACAATAACCCATAATGACAAAGCGAGAAAAAAAAGATACATTTTTGCACGTTTATAAAAAATAAAAACAGAAATACCTTATTTACATAAGTATTCAAAAACCAAGACATGAGATCTAAGGAATTGTCCATAGAGCTCCGAGACAGGATTGTGTCGAGACACAGATCTGGGGAAGGGTACCAAAACATTTCTGCAGCATTGAAGGTCCACAAGAACACAGTGGCCTCCATCATTCTTAAATGGAAGAAGTTTGGAACCACCAAGACTCTTCCTAGAGCTGGCCGCCCAGCCAAACTGAGCAAATCGGGGAAGAAGGGCCTTGGTCAGGGAGGTGACCAAGAACCCAATGTTCACTCTGGTAGACCTCCAGAGTTCCTCTGTGGAGATGGGAGAACCTTCCAGAAGGACAACCATTTCTGCAGCACTCCACCAATCAGGCCCGACGGAAGCCACTCCTCGGTAAAAGGCACGTGACAGCCCGCGTGGAGTTTGCCAAAAGGAGCCTAAAGGACTCTAAGACCATGAGAAACAAGATTCTCTGGTCTAATAAAACCAAGATTGAACTCCAGATGTGACGCTTGGCCTGAATGCCAAGCGTCACATCTGGAGGAAACCTGGCACAATCCATACGGTGAAGCATGGTGGTGGCAGCATCATGCTGTGGGGATGTTTTTCAGCGGCAGGGACTGGGATACTAGTCAGGATCAAGGGAAAGATGAACGGAGCAAAGTACAGAGAGATCCTTGATGAAAACCTGCTCCAGAATGCTCAGGACCTCAGACTGGGGCGAAGGTTCACCTTCCAACAGGACAACAACCCTAAGCACACAGCCAAGACAATGCAGGAGTAGCTTCGGGACAAGACAATGCAGGAGTAGCTTCGGGACAAGTCTCTGAATTTTCTTGAGTGGCCCAGCCAGAGCCCTGATTTGAACCCAATCTAACATCTCCGGAGAGACCTGAAAATAGATGTGCAGCGACACTCCCCATCCAACCTGACAGAAATTGAGAGGATCTGCACAGAAGAATGGGATAAACTCCCCAAATACAGATGTGCCAAGCTTGTAGCGTCATACCCAAGAAGACTTGAGGCTGTAATTATGGGGTATATCAGAATAAGGCTGTAACGTAACAAAATGTGGAAAAAGTCAAGGGGTCTGAATACTTTCCGAATGCATTGTACATCAATTAACCAACCAACCAATCACTCAAATCAATCAATAATCAACAGGTTCATGTGGCCAATGGAAAGAGGGTTATATACCTAGTCGATGGCATAAGAAACATCAACTTTGTTCAGAGTCATAGAGAGAATGATGTTGGGTTGTTCTACATGATTAAACATGTCCTATTAAACTATGAAAGTATTCTAATTAACTCCAGGTGGGTGTGGTAAGGAGGAGGGTTTTAATTTGTAACTCTAGTAATAGGACAGCTGGTGTTACCAGACAGGTGGCAGCCTATGAGAATAGGCTCGCCTTCACCTCCCCTCTGAGACGAGACAAGCAGACACAGTGCCGGGGGGAGGGGGGAGAGAAGAGAGAGAGAGAGGGAGAGGGGGGGGGGGGGGGGGGGGGAGTGAGCGAGAGAGAGTGGGAGGGAGTTAAAGAGAGTGAGAGAGAGAGAGTGGGAGGGAGAGGGAGAGAGTGAGTGAGTGAGTGAGTGAGTGAGAGAGAGAGTGTTATAAGACCCCTACCCTAGAGTTCTGTTATAACACCCCTACCCTAGAGTTCTGCTATAACACCCCTACCCTAGAGTGCTGTTATAACACCCCTACCCTAGAGTTCTGCTACAACACCCCTACCCTAGAGTTCTGTTATAACACCCCTACCCTAGAGTTCTGCTAAAACACCCCTACCCTCGAGTTCTGCTAAAACACCCCTACCCTAGAGTTCTGCTATAACACCCCTACCCTAGAGTTCTGCTAGAACACCCCTACCCTAGAGTTCTGCTATAACACCCCTACCCTAGAGTTCTGCTATAACACCCCTACCCTAGAGTTCTGCTATAACACCCCTACCCTAGAGTTCTACTATAACACCCCTACCCTAGAGTTCTGCTAGAACACCCCTACCCTAGAGTTCTGTTATAACACCCCTACCCTAGAGTTCTGCTAGAACACCCCTACCCTAGAGTTCTGCTATAACACCCCTACCCTAGAGTTCTGCTATAACACCCCTACCCTAGAGTTCTGCTATAACACCCTAGCCCCCTAGAGTTCTGTTATAACACCCCTACCCTAGAGTTCTGCTATAACACCCCTACCCTAGAGTTCTGCTATAACACCCCTACCCTATAGTTCTGCTATAACACCCCTACCCTAGAGTTCTGCTCTAATAGGGTTGCAAAATTCTGTGAACTTTCAATAAATTCCCCATTTTATTGAAATTTCCCAGAATTATGGAACCCTACGCTTAAACAAAAACACAGGGCCCTCTGCCTCACTCACTTCAAACCGCATGATGAGTGCGATCACAAATAGAATAGATACTAGACGGGTTACACTGTCCTTACCCTCTGATCATGGCAAACGACTCATCACTGGAGAAGTAGGAAGCCCCTGGAAGCACAGTCACCGTTTCTTTACCTGCAAACACGCATGCACACACGGGAAATGTCCACATATCTCATAAACATAGGACAGTTTGTGTGTGTGTGTGTGTGTGTGTGTGGGTATATCTTCACTTACCGGCGTTGATCAGGTCAGCATCCACTTCGTCTTCTGTGGGGTAGGGGCCCTACATAGAACACACACACACACGCAAAAGTTTAGGATTCTGGTGGTCACTCAACCCCACCATGATCTCACAACCTTTATTTTGACAGGGAGTCATGCTGAGACCAATGTCTCTTTCACAGATGAGCCCTGTATAGACAACAATACACATCAATATACACTATAAACATCACTATACACATCAAACCGACAAAGGAACTGGCCCTGTTTCTCTATAGCCTGAGGGAGCTTTTGACACCACATCTCTTAACCTGACACTCATAATTGGAGGGGAACATTCTCACAAATGAACATTAGCATATTTCTGCTTTAATTTCTCTGACAACAGAGTTGATGTGAAAGGCTTGGTGGAGCTGCAGCCTTTGTTAACACAACACACTGCTGTGTAGAAAATTAAAATGAATGGGAGAAAAAAGGTTGGATGGTTGCAATCTCCACAATGTTTTGTTAGGAACCCGGCACGTTTCAAACGTGAGTCCCCACACCTGTTGTCAACCGTGTTACTGTGGTGTTACTATGACAGAGATTCAAATGAGGGTTTTACCAATCCCAGAATGCCGTTCTCACTCTGCAGGTGGACAGTGATGTCTGGTTGGATGAAGTTGCTGGCCAACATGGGGATGCCGATACCCAGGTTAGCTGACAGCGTTTCATGTTAAAGAACATACACCTTGAATATATTACAAATATACAGTACCCTGATTTCATTCTGATTCTACACTACCGATGCCAAAGCCTGGGTAAGCTGATAGGTTTGGTTTGTCAAAGATATTCATAGTGGTAAGTTATTTTTAACCCGTTCACTATTAAGCTAACTTTTGGTAAGATATCAAAAGATCAATGATGATTGGTTCGATGGAGTCCCATTTCATGTTCAAGGATACCATACATTCCATCCTCAAACTCCAGCGCTGCTCGGCGAATGATCCGCTCTCGTACGATGTCAGAGTCCTTCTTTGGTTTGGGCTTCTCTGCTTGGGCCTTCTGCACCGTGCGCCTCTGGAGAGCGGAGAGAGACATTCTTCTCTGCTTAGTACCAATTGATTACACAGACTTCTCTATTGGACTATGATGGGTCTGGGAGGGATGCAATATAGATTACTTCCTGTAATATTTGGACAAAGTTGATGTGAAATCATCAGCGCTCCCTCTATCCCCCTCTTGGACCATTATGACTCAACTTAGTGACTGTATTACTGTTTAAGTAGGGTTGCAGGAATTCCAGTAACTTTCCTAAAATTCTAAAGTTTTCCAGAAATCCTGCTAATTCTGTCCTAGCTCCGGGAACCTTCCAACCAGGATTTCTGGAAAACCCTGGAATTTTGGGAAAGTTACCAGAATTTTGCAACCCTAAGCATGAATCCATGGAGGTGTTAGGAGGCCCACCTCTATCCTCTTCTCGTAGCAGTCTCCCTTGACAATCCTGTGGATGTAGATACTGGGGATGTGGATGTCCTCCTCAGCAAACGTCCCCACGTCCACCACCTCCTCCACCTACACAGAAAGACAGAGAGGGATGAAGCAGAAACACAATGTTGGTCAGTCCAAACACTGATCCTATGGGGTTACTCCTCAATTTCTGTTTGCACCCACTTTGATCCGTTCACATTTATAAAATACAACGTTCACCTAATTATTTTCATTCTGATGGGGACAAAGATTGAGATGTGGCTTTAAACCTCTCTCCTCCCATATGGTAACAGGGAGCAGGAACCACAGTGTATTCATTTCCCTATAGCTTTGACAACCACCAGGCCTGGTGTAAGCTGCCTCCCTGCCTCACCTGGGCTTAGGGGCCTTTAGAGAAGTCGAGACTAGGGGAGAGGGCCCGATCCTGGGATCAGAGGGGATGGAAGATGGGCAGGAGGTTCTGTCCATCACAAGGAGAAAACTAGCATTACATTACAAGCTCTGTCCTAATGTTCTTAGAATGACTTGGAATGATCCAAGTATGGCCTCAAGAATCATCTCAATCGTCCTCATCACCATTATGATCATCATTATCAGTAATCCATTAGTGTCAACCATCAGTGAATGACAATATGTGGAGCTAAACACACAGATAGACACACCATTACTTCCTGTGTCACTTAGCAGGAAATCTAAACCCCAATCATACCTGCCACATAACAGACGCTATGACGACTACCAAAGATAATAGCCAACGTTCATTCAAAAGATTCAAAATTAAGCTGGTTACTAAGCAACATTTTCAGAAAGCTTCCTGCTAAATCAATTCCTCCCAGAGTGAGTTCTGTGTGAGATATGTCTCCTATGTTATTTAATGAGATATTCCTCCCAGAGTGAGTTCTGCCTGAGATATGTACCCTATATTATTTAATAACACATTCATGGTAATAGCTATTGATCACAGGAAGAGAGTGAGGTCAACATAAAAGGACGCTCTCTTCCTTTAAAGAACCCGGTGACTAGAGATGATTAGGACCAGGGCCTAAAATGAACACCTATATCTGCCAAATGCGGGTAGATTTTGGCATTGGCGGGTAAGAAGTCTATTTCACCAGCCACGTTGGCGGGTGGTCAGGGCTCCACAGTGCGAGCATTTCACTCGCATTTGGGAATAAAATGTCAAGTATGATCACATTTACAGTAAAATAAATGCTGCAGTAGCTGTTTTCAAAGTATTTCCGCCTTTTTGTTTCATAGCTGGTAAATTAATCGCACTGTCAAAGAACTATGATCCTATATAGCCCATTCCACCTCGCACTGCAACACTGCCCGGCTGGGAGCTGCGCGCACGTGAAGAACTGAGTGAAAGATTCATTTTTAGAAGCGCTGCGCACAGGCATAAAAATGTGTCTAATTTACTTGAAACTAAAGTTTACTGATGTGAGACTTTGTCCTTGGCTATTTACATTGTTTTGTTCATAAGCTATCATCCAGACGGCGAGGTCAGTACAGGCGCATCAAAGCTGGGACCGAGAGACTGAAAAACAGCTTCTATCTCAAGGCCATCAGACTGTTAAATAGCCATCACTAGCACACTAGAGGCTGCTGCTGCCTATTGAAATCACTGGCCACTTTAAGAAATGGAAGACTAGTCAATATAATAATGTTTACATATCTTGCATTACTCATCTCATATGTATATACTGTATTCTATAATATTCTACTGTATCTTAGTCCATGCCGCTCTGTCATTGCTCGTCCATATATGTATACATTCTTAATTCCATTCCTTACTTAGATTTGTGTGTATTGGGTATATGTTGTAAAATTGTTAGATATTACTTGTTAGATATTACTGCACTGTCGGAGCTAGAAGCACAAGCATTTCGCTACACCCGCAATAACATCTGCTAAACACGTGTATGTGACAAATAAAATTTGATTTGATTTGATGCTAGGTTGTTTTTCTATGTTTGAGTTTCAACTGCTAGGGAAGAGAAGACAACTCTTCTACTAGTCAGACTCAATCTCACAGGCACAAACATGACTCCTGAAAATGTTTGGCCTCATCTACCACATTACTTCTTACATGTATTGCTTTATAAACATTACAAAGCATGCTCATCCTGTTTTATTGGTGTAATTTTAACAGATTTTAATTTATTTTGGCTGGTAAAAAATCTGAGTGGCTAGAAGATGTTTTAATCTACCTGCCATAGTGGCTGGTGGACCCAAAAGTTTAATTTTACACCCTTATTAGGACAGCACTCTTCTATTTACCAGAGGTACGTTCAACAAGGGAAATAGCTAGTTTGTGAACTTCAGAAACCTACTTGCAAGAATAGTAACATCTTTGGGGTGAGCCCATTGTTTGTTGCCCCTTCTTCCTCCTGTGATGTGTTTGTTAAGGTACCCCAGCTGCCTGTGAAGAGCAGCTTTCTGCTGAAGTAGACCTTCACTAAGCTTTCGACAGAGAGAGAGGAGAGAGAGAGGAGACATCAAGAGAATGCTATAGAGAGGAAGAAGCGCTCAGGGACTCTTTGAGGAGCAATAAGCTTTTCATAATACGATACTGAAATCCTTCCTCCTCATAGACTCAGAGGGGAGACAGACGAGAGAGAGGGAGAGAGAGATAGCAGAAAGGGAGATAAAGAGAGAGAGCGCGAGGCCAAATTGACTTGCCGCGTCTTAAATCCAACGCTCAGAGGACGAGGGGAACGAAGAGAACAGAAGAGAGATCTTCAAATCTCTACAGGAAGGGGGACTAGCTGTGACAACATCATTTCCAGCCCTCTACATTGTCCACTTCAATGTAACAGAGAGTATACACTGAATGTAGAAAACATTACGGACACCTTCCTAATATTGAGTTCACCCGCCCCTTTTGCCCTTAGAACAGCCTCAATTCGTCGGGGCATGGACTCTACAAGGTGCCGAAATTATTCCACAGGGATGCTGGCCCATGTTGACTCCAATGCTTCCCACAGTTGTGTCAAGTTGGCTGGATGTTCTTAGGGTGGTGGACCATTCTTGATACAAACAGGAAACTGTTGATCGTGAAAAACCCAGCAGTGTTACAGTTCTTGACACAATTAAACCGGTGGGCCTGGCACCTACTACCGTACCCCGTTTAAAAGGCACTTATCTTGTGTCTTGCCCATTCACCCTCTGAATGGCACACATACACAATCCATGTCTTTATTGCCTCAAGGCTTAAAAATCCTTCTTTGACCTGTCTCCTCCCCTGATTGAAGTGGATTTCATAAGTGACATTAATAAGAGATTATAGCTTTCACCTAGATTCACCTGGTCAGTCTATGTCAAGGAAAGAGAAGGTGTTCATAATGTTTTGTACACTCAATGTATACTTATTCCATCCCCACTAGGGGGACAGGCGGGCATTTACAGACACAATGAATTACAGACACATTGAATTGCGTCCCTTCCTCTCCCTCAGCACTCTACAATGACTGACAGACGAGCCAATGGGTGAGAGCCGAATGGATCCCATCTTAGCGTTGTCATGGATACAGGGGCTTTGGTGGAGAGCTGGGGGCGGTTCAGGGCAGTAAAGTGAAGCGCTCGCTCTCGCTCCCTCTCTCTGGCTCTCTGGGTTAAATCTCTGATAGTGTGCAGCGAAAGGGGAGCCAGGGGCTTTGGGTGGGGGGAGGGGGGGTCGTGACAGTTTGATGCACACACACACACACACACACACACTTCAGTAACTTTGTCTCTCGGTGCTCTCTTGCTGAGTGTCATTAGCCGCAGCTAGGGGACTGACATCTCCAGCTCTCAACGGTTAGCAGTAGCACTGAGACTAAATGAGACTATTAGCTATGAAGCTAAGGATGGCTAGGGCTGACTACACTACTACACTGCTGACACCACACACATTGTTTCAGTGACTGAATATACCAGAATTGAAAACAAGAAACCGACAGAAGGTGTCATCTGGCCCTACGGATGAAGAAATGGGTCCTCTGAACCACAGAGAATCAAAGGGAAGCAGGTCATTGGCTGAGTGACTTAGTACTCTTAGCACAATCCAGTTCCCAATACTCTAAACCTCATCTCTTTCACTTCACCACCACTGATTCCACCATACATGTACTAAATGTATTAAATAGACAATAGCTTAGGGCTATCAGGAAAGGAGGATTATTGGAGGATTAGTCGATGTGAAATACACTTCTTCAGATGGGTTGCAGCAGTGCCAGTGAGTGACTGACAAATCAAATGTTATTTGTCACATACGCTGAATACAACAGGTCTACACAGGTCTTACAGTGAAATGCTTACTTACAAGCCCTTAAAAACCATGCAGTTTTAAGAAAAATAAGTGTTAAGTAAAAAATAGATAAGTAAAACAAATTATAAAATAAAAGAAGAAAAATAACAAATAATTAAAGAGCAGCAGTAAAATAACAATAGCGAGGCTATATACAGGAGGTACCGGTTAGTCGAGGTAATTGAGGTAATATTTACATGTAGGTAGAGGTAAAGTGACTATGCATAGATAATAGATAATAAACAGAGTAGCAGCAGCGTAAAAAGAGGGGGTGTGGGGGACAATGCAAATAGTCCGGGTAGCCATTTGATTAGCTGTTCAGGAGTCTTATGGCTTGGGGGTAGAAGTACTCTCCTGAGTGGCGCAGTGGTCTAAGGCACTCTATCGCAGTGCTAACTGTGCCACTAGAGATCCTGGTTCGAATCCAGGCTCTGTCGCAGCCGGCCGCGACCGGGAGACTCATGGGCGGCGCACAATTGGCCCAGCGTCGTCCAGGGTAGGGGAGGGAATGGCCGGCAGGGATGTAGCTCAGTTGATAGAGCATGGCGTTTGCAACGCCAGGGTTGTGGGTTCGTTTCCCACGGGGGGCCAGTATAAAAAAAATATGTAATCACTAACTGTAAGTCGCTCTGGATAAGAGCGTCTGCTAAATGACTAAAATGTAAGTTGTTAAGAAGCCTTTTGGACCTAGACTTGGCGCTCCGGTACCGCTTGCCGTGCGGTAGCAGAAAGAACAGTCTATGACTAGGGTGCCTGGAGTCTTTGGCAATTTTTAGGGCCTTCCTCTGACACCGCCTGGTATAGAGATCCTGGATGGCAGGAAGCTTGGCCCCAGTGATGTACTGGGCCGTACGCACTACCCTCTGTAGTAACTTGCGGTCGGAGGTCAAGCAGTTGCCATACCAGGCGGTGATGCAACCAGTCAGGATGCTCTCGATGATGCAGCTGTAGAACTTTTTGAGGATCTGAGGAACCCATGCCAAATCTTTTCTGTCTCCTGAGGGGGAATAGACTTTGTCGTGCCCTCTTCACGACTGTTTTGGTGTGTTTGGACCATGATAGTTTGTTGGTGATGTGGACACCAAGGAACTTGAAGCTCTCAACCTGCTTCACTACAGCCCCGTCGATGAGAATGGGGGCGTGCTCGGTCCTCCTTTTCCTGTTGTCCACAATCAACTCCTGTGTCTTGATCACGTTGAGGGGAGGTTGTTATCCTAGCACCACACGGCCAGGTCTCTGACCTCCTTCCTATAGGCTGTCTCATCGTTGTTGGTGATCAGGCCTACCACCGTTGTGTCGTCGGCAACCTTAATGATGGTGTTGGAGTCGTGCTTGGCCATGCAGTCATGGGTGAATAGGGAATACAGGAGGGGACTGAGAACGCACCCGAGGGGCCCCCGTGTTGAGGATCAGCATGGCAGATGTGTTGTTACTTACCCTTACCACCTGGGGGCGGCCCGTCAGGAAGTCCAGGATCCAGTTCCAGAGGGAGGTGTTTAGTTCCCAGGGTCCTTAGCTTAGTGATGAGCTTTGAGGGCACTATGGTGTTGAACGCTGAGCTGTAGTCAATGAATAGCATTCTCACGTAGGTGTTCCTTTTGTCCAGGTGGGAAAGGGCAGTGTGGAGTGCAATAGAGATTGCATCATCTGTGGATCTGTTGGGGCGTTATGCAAATTGGAATGGGTCTAGGATTTGTGGGATAATGGTGTTGATGTGAGCCATGACCAGACTTTCAAAGCACTTCATGGCTACTGCTACCGTTCAGAGAGTCCTTATGGCCTGTTGTCTAGTTGTCACTAGTGCTCTGATCAACTGTTGATTTAGGGGTGGGACTGTATGGGGGGGATGATTGTAGACCAACTTCTGTATGTCTGCTTTAATAGCCTACATCCTAGCTACTCAATTCAATCAACAGTCCTGCATCTCTGCTGCCTCAGAGGGTTATAATGATGATGACGATGAGAAGATGAGCAGTGAATCACGCCCAGTCTCTCTACCCTGCCTCACTGCACACACACTGGTACACACCGTCGGTCTTCAGCTCAGTGTTTTATTGCCTATGCTAATCCAGGCCACGCCCAGGCCAGCACAATAAACAAACTGACTCAACCTAAATATTCTATGTGTATGAAGGGCCCTTTGATCTGTGCGTGCGTGAGGCTGCAGCAGGGCTCGGGAGATACAGCAGGCACTGTACACAACAGGAGAGAACAGAGCTGGAATTATTCAACAGACAAACACACAGGCGTGGCACATACACTGGCACGTATGAATGTGCGCAAACACACACACACACACACCCACCACCCACCGACACACACAGTACACGCGCATATTGATATTCCTGTATATGTAGTAGCATTTTCACATCAATGAGAGCGGAGAGAGGCTTGAAGTGTGCTGGCAGGGAGACACAGGGAATGAAAGGCCCCTGGGGAAACACACAGCTTTTTTTAGTCCGTTTGTTCTTTTTTAGGGCTCTGAGCCCTGTCAGGGCCTATTAATCTCAAACTGATGGCCACCCACTGTTAAGAAACACTGTGTGTGTGTGTGTGTGTGTGTGTGTGTGTGTGTGTGTGTGTGTGTGTGTGTGTGTGTGTGTGTGTGTGTGTGTGTGTGTGTGTGTGTGCGCGCATGTGCCCAGCCTTTGTCTGGGTTGTGGCAATCTATCACTATATTCACCACCTTCAGCCACAGTTGTATTATTAGATCAAAAAGTCTTGGCACAGCTCGCTGATCTGATCAATGGAAATGCATAAACCAGGACTACAGGAGACGCATGCGCATCCAACCCTTACACACACACACACACACACACACACACACACACACACACACACAGTGGTGTAGTGGAGGGTAAAGGCAAGTAAACACAGAAAAAGTATTGAACGGATAGGGAGCGTTACTTTTTTCATCATGACCAGCGATCAGTTTACGCACCTATTTCTTGTTTAACACTACATCACTGCACACACAGAAGCACGGGCACACACGCACGCACACAAGCACACATACAGTCAACACTGCTGTTCTATTTATATACTACTTATTCAACTGCACGACCAAGACACTATCCACATTATATTTGTAAATACAGTCATACTTGACATAGCACATCATTTATACTGTATCTCCTATTGTGTACATACCAGTTTTATTAATATGCATACTACTTGTTTATTTTATTGAAATTTGTACTGCACTGTTGAGGGAGCTTGCAAGTAAGCATTTCACTGCACCATTTATACCTGCTGTAACCTGTGTACATACATAACGAATAACCTTTGATTTGATACTAACCTGTTGATGAGCCCCTGTGACAGATCCACTGATGTGTATGAACGGTTGTGACCCAGCCCTGACCCACCTTCGAGTGTGTGTGTGTTAACAGTGTTTGAGTGAAGTTCAGACACATTGCTCTGATCGGCAGACATGAAGGGCATCCATTTGTCTTTGAGCTAAGGCTCAGCGGTCTCTAAACCTTCATTATATACCAATCTAAAACCATGATCCTGTCAAACCTTGCAATACCAGATTCTAAATCTGCATATTCAGAGAGAGAGGAGAGAGAGAGAGAGAGTGTGTGTGTGAGTTTGTGTGTGTTGAGGCGTGTCGTCTTGGGGAAGTTGGGGACAGTCTGGCTGCGGGCGACGGAGCATGAGGACAGTGACACCACACTCTCATTATCCAACTTATTTATAGCCATCTCCCTCGGTGTCTGTGTGTCTCGGTCTGTGTCTGTTTCTGTGTGTGTGTGTGTGTGTGCATGTGGAATCTTTGCCACTGTCAGGGCTCAGGCTTGATTCTCCTAACCTGGGAAACAGTAGAATATTGACACCACAAGCTATCTATGACAAACTGAGACGCTCATGAACACGTTTTGCACTATAATGCTCACAAGTCTCAGGACTGACAGAGTTAAGTAGCAAATGTCTCAACCCAACCCCTAATCTAGTGAAACTAGACTATATCATTCCATATATTAGACTACAATTATTAGACTACACTGAGTGTACAAAAAATTAAGAACACCTTCCTAATATTGAGTTGCACCCCCTTTTGCCCTTAGAACAGCCTTAATTCGTCGGGGGATGGACTCTATATGGTGTCGAAACCGTTCCACAGGGATGCTGGCCCATGTTGACTCAAATGCTTCCCACAGTTGTGTCAAATTGGCTGGATGTCCTTAGGGTGGTGGACCATTCTTGATACACACGGAAACTGTTGAGCTTGAAAACCCCAGCAGCATTGCAGTTCTTGACACACTCAAAATGGTGCGCCTGGCACCTACTACCATACCCCGTTCAAAAGCACTTAAATATTTTGTCTTGCCCATTCACCCTCTGAATGGCACACATACACAATCCATGTCTCAATTGTCTCAAGGCTTAAAAATCCTTCTTTAACCTGTCTCCTCCCCTTCATCTACACTGATTGATGTGGATTTAACAAGTGACATCAATAAGGGATCATAGCTTTCACCTGGATTCATCTTGTCAGTCGATGTCAGTGTGTATTCCATTGTTAACCAGCTCTTTGTATGATACCTCTATGCACCAGACAATGAATAGAATACATGCATAACCTCCTAGAATACATGCATAACATCCTAGAACACATGCATAACCTCATAGAATACATGCATAACATCCTAGAATACATGCATGACATCCTAGAAGTCATGTTCAGTGTGTTCCAGAGGATCTGAATGACCCAGTCGGGATTCCCACCTATAGACACCCTACTAAATTAATAGTAGTTATTTATTATTAGTAGTATTCTAATTCCTAATTTTATGGTCCCACCTGTCTGTGTGACATGACTATCAGCTCCATTAGGATGCTACACTACAGCCAGCCACTACAGCCAGCCATTAAGGTGTGTAGGGAAGCAGATAAGCTGTGCCATGGACACTGGTGTGTAATAGTTCAGACGCGCGCGCACACACACAGTGACTAAAAGTCTGTTGTCTCTCTCAAAGAGTATTGGAAAGCTTTTATGTAAATATGACCACCGTTATTACAGCAATTTACCATGATTCTTGCCAACCCTAGATTTATCTCCAATTGCTATGAAGAAGATGTACCAAGGGAAAGAGAGAGGTGTGAAGTCACCCCAAGCTGAGCTTTCTCTTCAGCGCTTTGCCTAACTTTGCTGTCCCACTCCCCCACAAGGAGCAGGGTACAGGTTCTCAATATGAATGCTAGCTTAGCTACCAGTGTGCTCGCAATGGAAACTTTGCATGGTAGTCAATGTCAATAATATACAAGATTGGTGCCAGTGAAATGAAAGCCTACTCCATATAAAAATAGTTCCTCCTATAGGGGACTATAGAGGATGGATGTTGGAAAGTGATTAATATGTTCTGGGTTTTATGAAGTTGAACAGCTTTACAAGTCTCTGCTCTGTCATTCACACTACCCACAATGATGTTACAGTAAAGCTGTGAGTCTCACACAGATACACTCTATTCACCCATACACAGACGACTGTTTGGTGAAGATGGCCATGAAAAATAATCCACAACATTCCCGAAGCAAGTTGCTGGGTCTCTTCTCCACTTAGGAAAATCTATTAAATCAAACAATTTGCTGAATAGGCTTAAAGTCTGCATTCAAAGCTCAATAGAGAAACTACATCTAAAAGTTCCTCTTTGTTAGTATCCAACATCTCTCTTGTCAACCTGTGGAGCTTTTGGCAGAGTAATGGGAGTAATTTCAATCCCCACGCCACAGTATCCTCATCATGAAGCCCACAGAGAGCTGTGTGTAGGACCAGATGGACAGAGAGTGGGAGGAAGGTAGATGACACCTTGGGAGGATGGATACACCCTAGGCTGACACGAAAAAAGGCACACAGACGCATGCTCACACACACACACACACACACACACACACAACACTCGGAGAGGAGAGGAGAGTAGAGGAGAGAGAACGGTTGTGATAATGCAAAAAGACTGCTTTGATTGAACACCCTGTGCTGTGCATCACATCCCAAAATGCATTGGACATGATTGTATCTGTGATAAGGGGATAACGGGCCGAGAGATGGGTGCTACAGAACGTTCCAAAATGGAGCCGAGCAGTCTTGTTGCCTAGCAACCAGGGTGGCCTGCCAAAAATTATGTTCTATAAATTCTGTTTTGTTCTATATCATTGTCCTATGATGTAAATCATATCATTGAGGTTTTACCAGGAAAACCATTAGCTAGTTCCACTTCACCTTTGGAAGACTGAGGGTTAAGTCAAGCTCAGTTGACTATACCATAGTAGCCTGTATTTGAGGTTGAGTTGAGAACAGGATCGCAAAATCCGGTAACTTTCCCAAAATTCCCAGGTTAACCAGGAATCCTGGTTGGAGGATTACTGGATTTTCTGCATATTCCCTCCTGATTCCCGGAAACTTCCACCCGGGGTTTCTGGAAAACCTGGGAATTTTGGGATAATTTCCAGAAATGTGCAACCCTAGTTGAGGATGAGTGAGACGAGCGTCATTCCATCCTTTCTTCATTTCAGTGTGACAGATAAGTGAGGAGCACAGTGGTAGGCTAGGCTACATCTTCAACAACATGTCAGAAACAGCTCACCCACGCTGGGAAAATAACCTATTTTATTCTCTGCACACCACAACCACTAAAGCACTACCAACCATCCAGTGTAGGAACTTGACCTCTATGTATAGTGTAGACTCTTTCCTGTGTCATAATCCCAGAGTTAAACTAAGGATTTGGGAGGAATTGTCTGTAAGTAAACAGAACAGCTTTGTACCCAAGGGCATTTCCATCAAAAAGGACCCATGAGCACAAACATGTGAAGTTCATAGGAGCATATCAAATTGGGTGTCTAATGAAAGCTAAGAGTCTATATTTTGGGGAAATTAAGCAATAGATACATTTTTCAACCATTTTTCATTTTAAGAATGAGGCATAAGTAAAAACTCTGATTTCTGGATATACAGTGGCTTGTGAAAGTATTCACCCCCCTTCGAATGTTTCCTATTTTGTTGTCTTACAACCTGGAATTGATTTTTTGGGGGGTTTGTATCATTTGATTTACACAACATGCCTACAACTTTGAAGGTGCAAAATATTTTTTCTTGTGAAACAAGAAGAAATAAGACAAAAAAACTGAAAACATGAGCGTGCATAACTATTCACCCCCCCCCCCAAATCGATACTTTGTAGAGCCACCTTTTGCAGCAATTACAGCTGCAAGTCGCTTGTGGTATGTCTCTTGGGGTATATAAGCTTGGCACATCTAGCCACTGGGACTTTTGCCCATTCTTCAAGGCAACACTCCTCCAGCTCCTTCAAGTTGGATGGGTTCCGCTGGTGTACAGCAATCTTTAAGTCATACCACACATTCTCAATTGGATTGAGGTCTGGGCTTTGACTAGGCCATTCCAAGACATTTAAATGTTTCCCCTTAAACCACTTGAGTGTTGCTTTAGCAGTATGCTTAGGGTCATTGTCCTGCTGGAAGGTGAACCTCCGTCCCAGTCTCAAATCTCTGGAAGACTGAAAGAATTTCCCTGTATTTAGCGCCATCCATCATTCCTTCAATTCTGACCAGTTTCTCAGTCCCTGCCGATGAAAAACATCCCCACAGCATGATGCTGCCACCACCATGCTTCACTCTGGGGATGGTGTTCTCGGGGTGATGAGAGGTGTTGGGTTTGCACCAGACATTGCATCTTCCTTGATGGCCAAAAAGCTCAATTTTAGTCTCATCTGACCAGAGTACCTTCTTCCATATGTTTGGGGAGTTTCCCACATGCCTTTTGGCGAACACCAAAAATGTTTGCTTATTTCTTTCTTTAAGCAATGGCTTTTTTCTGGCCACTCTTCCGTAAAGCCCAGCTCTTTGAAGTGTACGGCTTAAACTTTGCCATTATGTTTCTAGAATTATTTTGAAATTGATTACATTTATGAAAAGCTGAAATGTTTTGAGTCAATAAGTATTCAACCCCTTTGAAATGGCAAGCCTAAATAACTTCAGGAGTAAAAATGTGCTAGTCACATAATAGGTTGCATGGACTCACTTTTTCAATGACTACCTAATCTCTGTACCCCACACATACAATGATCTGTAAGGTCCCTCAGTCGAGCAGTGAATTTCAAACACGGACTCAATCAAACACAGACTCAAGGCCAGGGAGGTTTTCCAATGCCTTCCAAAGAAGGGCACCTATTGGTAGATTGGTAAAAAAAATTATACAAAAATGACATTGAATAGAGCTAAGCACAAGCAAAATCATACAGGAAAACCTGCTTCAGTGTCCTTTCCAACAGACACTGGGAGTAAAATTGACCTTTCAGCAGGACAATAACCTAAAACACAATGCCAAATATACACTGGAGTTGCTTACCAAGACGACATTGAATGTTCCTGAGTGGCCTAGTTACAGTTTTGACTTAAATTGGCTTGAAAATCTATGGCAAGACTTGAAAATGGCTGTCTAGCAATGATCAACAACCAACTTGACAGAGCTTGAAGAATTTAAACAAATTATAATGTGCAAATATTGTACAATCCAGGTGTGCAAAGTTCTTAGGAGACTTACCCAGAAAGACTCACAGCTGTAATCGCTGCCAAAGGTGATTCTAACATGTATTGACTCAGGGGGTTGAATACTTATCTAATCAAAATACATTAGTGTTTTATTTTCTATTAATTATTTATTTTAAACATTTTTCTTCCACTGATATTAGAGTATTTTGTGTAGATCGTTGACATACTTATGTAAATGTGATATTTCTGTATTTCATTTTCAATACATTTGCAAACATTTCTAAAAACATGTTTTCACTTTGTCATTATGGGGTATTGTGTGTTGATGGGTGCGGAAAAAATCAATTTATTCCATTTTGAATTCAGGCTGTAACACAACCAAAATGTGACCCGCTTCAGGAAGCTAGGCGTATGTCGCACGTCCCTACTTCACATGAGAGGCAATTGAAAGTAAACATTTTTTATTTTATTTTAAGTGCGTTTTTGGGCCTTCTGGAACATGTGATCTTTCATGTGCCTTAATTACAAACTTGTAAATACGAATAAAATGTTTAAATTATGAGCCTAGTTGGTTTAGCCACGAAAAAAGACAGGAGCCTTCCCGCTAGCCATGATTGGCTGAAATAATGGATGGGCTGGACATGCCGAGAGATTAGTTGGTCTGCCATGTAGCATGCTTCTGTCTATAACATGAGCTGCTCAGTATGTGTATATAATCCTTGCTACTGCTGCATTTTTTGAAAGATATCATGGAGAACTACAAAAGTGTTGCTACTGCTCGCAACATCACTGCGCTGAATTTAACAGGCGCTATCGAAAAAGATCAGTGGGAAAAAGTTGATGGACTACTTTCTGGAGGACGATCTCTGACACTGAAAATGAATCAGACTATGAGGAAATCCCTGATTTAGGTCAAAACATTTTAATTGAACCAGATATTGTAAAGTCTTCTGTTGACAGTGATGGTGTTGTTGTCACAGAAAAAGTTGACCGAGTTTTGAAATCAGTGGAATGCCCGGTGGAAGCAGAGTATGATTGCAAATGCGGAGGGAGTCAAAAAGAGAACTCAGAAGGCTGTTGTATAAAACACCTGTCTCCGGATTACAAGGGCAGCCATGGCATACATGACGGAGAAGCGTTCATCCATGTATACAGGTAAGAGAGTCTAGCTAGCTACATTTTCAGATATTACACGTTTCTAATTTTGTCAGAAAGTTGTAATGAAACAAACAGTTGTAAGCTCCCAGTCTAAATGGCATATATTATATGATATTATAATATATTACTCCTCATCATCCCTGTCCAATATATCAACAGCACCCTGACATACTCTGCTGCTGCAGATAACCAACTGCCACTTGTGTGATAATAAATTTCAAAAAATACTTTAGAATTCAGCTCACTTTTCACTTTCCATGTTTCTGCAAGTAAAGGACATTTGCTGCAATCCTTCTTCCCTGTCAGTCTCAATACCAAAATCTGTTCTCCACCAATACTTAGCAGTAAATACCTCTCAACATTCTCTCCACAGATGTCAAAGTCTTCAGAATGACCTTCACACTATTTGTCCATAGTTATGCTATACACTGCATAGAAGTACTTAATTTAAAACAAGACAAATAAGAAGACTCTACAAGAATGTTGAGTAGTACACACATGCATTAATGCTTGCGCGCACGGAGACAGAGACAGACACACAGACAAACACACACCTTCGACCTTGAGGCTGGAGGTACAGGGGTGAATGTAGAGAGGGTCCTCCACTGAGGCCCACCTGTCTGCCTGTCTGTCTGTCTGCTGTCTATCCCTCGGGGTCTGAGTCAGTCCAGAGCGGACAGGATGCATACACCACCTGACCTATTCCCTGTCACTGCTAAACTCAGGCCGCATGCAGCAGAAAACCATCAGATCAATACCCACAACATCACCGATTGATGGCAGAACTTGTTCAGAATTTCTAAGATTCACTTATCTTCAGTGAGATCGTAATTGTTTCACTATCAGAGTTTTGTTACATTCTAAAGAAACAAGAGAGTCTAAATCCCAAAGACATGTTCTAACTACAAATCCTTACAGGGTGCACCCACAGCAGGACTTGCTTTGAATGGGAATATCAGTTCCACTTATTCTATGGCTATGTGTGCAAGGGTATTTTAGAGTGTTCAAGAACTCTGCTGGTGATTCTCTCAGCGGAGTAAACTGTTTGATAACTATGGGTATTGTGTGAGGAAGACATTTTGGATTAGAAGAGCTACTCCCATCACATCTGAGAATTATGTTGGTTAAGTCTGCTGTTGGCTTCACTGCAGTTTAGACAATTAGGAGGATAAATGCATTTGTGATATGCAGACAGCTGTTTGAAAGGAAATTAAAAGGAGCCAACAACAAAACAATTAAAAGATTAGCCTCCTGCTGAAATTGACACAGTTTATTTTGTGTAGCCTACCTGGGAGTCGGCAGAAATGCCATGCTTGATGTTCTATGGCGATTAATTAAGAAGTTGGACGCAATTTTCCAACTCCGCTCTTTTCAGCGTCTGTTCATAATCTGATTTCAAAGGATGTTTGGGAATTGTGTTAAGTAGATGTGAAGTCCATTAATTGAGACGTGACACCAATTGAAAATAGGCTACCTAAAGTAACATTTATTTAGGCTACCTAAAATATATCTCCCCTTTTTAAAAACAATGTCATTCTCTTTACTGACCTTGTTTTAATTGCAATTTCCTTCCCTCTTTCCCCCTCTCTGGGGAGTTCTTCTCTGCCACTGTTGTTCTGTGTCAAATTACAATAGTTAGTAAAAAGCATGACATCAATACCATTTAGGTGGTTGATTTGTCATGAATTTAGACCATTTCATCTGTACTCCATACAATATGTAATGTTCAATAATGTTTTACAACCAAGCTTGATTACCAAGTCCCCTGAACAACAGTTGCCATCAAGCTTGATTCATTAGACTGTGAATAATGATTGCACAGACCACACGTTACTATCGGTTTGCAGTCCAAATCAAGCACCTCATCCATCAAGTTGTTGGCGTATTTATTTAGCACTTTCTGAGTAAGTGAGAGAAAGAGAGAGAGAGAGTTAGAGAGAGAGAGAGTTAGAGAGAGAGAGAGGGGGGGAGAGAGAGAGAGAGAGAGAGGAGATGATCTAGGCTATATCATCTATCTACGATCGAGGATAGATATAGAGCATAGCAGAGGTGGAATCGATCTATCTTGTCTCTGAGTCAGCTTTTTTTTTTTTCTTTTCTTTCTCCTTTTTCCTCTCCTCTCCTCCTCCTTCTCTCTTGCGTTCCTTTCTGGTTCGTAGGTGTGATGTGTGGTTTATATCTCCGGCCGGGGTGGTTTGGGGGCTGGGTTTTATCTCGGCGAGTATGGGGGGGGTTGAAGCTGAGTTCTGGGGATTCAAGCCACCAACGTTTTTAAAGGGGTGAAGCCTTATAGCCAGTCTGGGGCTTGAGGATGACAATGTGCTCGGCATGCTCCATAAACGACCTAGTCCGTAATTCTCCCACACAAACCCCACCCCTCTTTTCCTCTAATACCCGAAGCAGTATTCCCCCATTTCAAGAGCTCCTACCAACTTATTCGCATAATTTTGAGACTTCTCTCCCCCTCCTCCTTCCTTTCTTCTCTCCTTTTCTCGTCCCTCCTCCCCTTTTTCCCTTTTCAGCTAGTTCCCTTCTGACCCTTACCCACCCCTTCCCCCCTCCCCGCCCCCCCTGGTCACTATTTGCCACAACCATATTAACCCCTTGTACTAGACTTTAATCCAAACCCACAGTCAATATTTTTATTGACTGCAATCGTTAACAATTAATACAGCGGCTACGGCCAAACACTACGTGGCCTTTCCCCCGCTCCTAAGGGTCCAATCCGGCGGGTTGGATCGCTGGAATGAACCTGGGGCTGTATGCTCTCAAGCATAAGCATGCCTTGCTGCCCTGGGCCCCGAGATATATCAGCGATGGCCAACTTGGGACTAGACTTCGCATCCAATATGTTCAGACATTATGGTTGCTATTGTTGTCCAAATCTTCCCCTCCCTCACATTCATAAATTCCACTATGGCCTTGAATTCTTCATTTCAATACCAAACCTCAATGTGGCAACATTCTGCCATATATCTATAATATTTTGAATTTCCCTTTCCATTCATTGAAAATTTCATCCTTCCTCTTCTTTCCTACCTACCATACAATCAATGGGGTGGTGTCGCAAAGGACATACACATACCCCCCAACTTTTTCACCCCTACGATGTGCTTTTCTGGCCTTGACTAACAGTCGTTAAGAACAGTTCTTATTTACAATGACGGCCTAACACCGGCCACAACAGGAGACGCTGGCCAATTGTGCGCTGCCCTATGGGACTGCCAACACGGCCGTTTGTGATACAGCCTGGAAACGAACCGGGGGTCTGTAGTGACGCCTCAAGCACTGAGATGCAGTGCCTTAGACCGCTGCGCCACTCGGGAGTTATAATATCAGCAGACTGAGCCAACTTGAGGGATCTAGACTTTCAATCAGGCCATCCAAATGAGGCTGTAGTCATATTACTGGTTTCTCATTGTCTGTCACAAATCTTTCTCCCTTTCTCTCTCAATTCAATTCAGTAGACTTTATTGACATGGCCAGTTAAATTACTTACATTGTCAAAGTACACATATAACAACAATGGTGGGACCAACAGCGATATCTATCAATAATAATAAATAGTAGTAGTAGTGGAAATTGAATTACCATTAACAGCAACAACAATAGCCCTCCCTCTGTGCTGTTAAGACAGCACAGCAGTACCATAGACAGAGGAGGGGGAAGGGGGCTGTAGCGCAGGGACATAGCACATACCTCTACGATGGTGACTTTGGCTGCCTTGCACATGGGCTGGTTGAAGTTCCTAGCTGTTTTCCTACACACACAGAGAGACAAAGAGACAAAGAGAGAGAGACAGAGAGAGAGAGAGAGAGAGAGAGAGAGAGAGAGAGAGAGAGAGAGAGAGAGAGAGAGAGAGAGAGATGAGAGAGAGAGAGAAGAGAGTAGAGAGAGAGAGAGAGAGAGAGAGAGAGAGAGAGAGAGTTGACCTTAGCTCACAATAGTGTTGCACGGTATACAAAACTTGTGTACCTTATCGATACTAGAACATGAAAAACTTTTTGGTACTAGATTTTTTGTTACTTTCGGTACTTCTGCCAAATGTGTCACTTCATATAAGGATTTAGAGGATCGAGTCTGTCTTGTAATTTATCTTCTCAAGGGGGCAGTAATAAACTAGCCAGATTACTTGCGCTTGCATCGGACACCGCAAGCCACTTTTGAGAAGCAAGCGGAAAGATCATACCTAAACGCCAGCAGCTTGTTGACAAAACTGGCTGCAGAAGCGAACTATGGGAATACTTTGATTACAGAGCAGATGATGAGGGCCAGCCCACCAAAACTACTAGGCAAAAGGTGTTACAAAGCAGTGCAGTTCAAAGGAGGTTTAATTCCAAAATGATTTTATGACATTTGCATTGTAACGTTGTCGTTATTCTACTAAATTTGAATTATTTTTTTGTGACAATGACATGAACATACACTGAGTGTACAAAACATTAGGAACAGATGCTCTTTCCATGACAGACTGACCAGGTGAATCCAGGTGAAAGCTATGATCCCTTATTGATGTCACTTGTTAAATCCATTTCAATCAGTGTAGATGAAGGGGAGAAAACGGGTTAAAGAAGGATTTATAAGCCTTGAGACAATTGAGACATGGATTGTGCATGTGTGCCATTCAAAGGGTGAAAGGGCAAGACAAAAAATGTAAGTGCCTTTGAACGGGGTATGGTAGTAGCTGCCAGTTGCACTGGTTTGTGTCAAGAACTGCAACGCTGCTGGGTTTTTCAGACTCAACAGTTTTCCGTGTGTATCAAGAATGGTCCACCACCCAAAGGACCTCCAGCCAACTTGGCACAACTGTGGGAAACATTGGAGTCAACATGGGCCAGCATCCCTGTGGAACGCTTTTGACACCTTGTAGAGTCCATGCCCTGACGAATTGAGGCTGTTCTGAGGGCTAGGAGGGGGGTGCAACACGATATTAGGAAGGTGTTCCTAATGTTTTGTATACTCAGTGTAGAAGCTTCATAAATGAGCTTC